CCCGCGCATGCCAGGCGAGCTTGAGCCCTTGGCTGTATTTTCAAAACATGTCCAGAGTCCTACCACTTCTTACTACTTACACTGCTACTACAGATTCAGTCCACCATCACCCATCCCCAGGTGCCACAAAGGCTCCAAGGAAGTCTTTTCTCCACAATATGGCAAGAATGATCCTCTGATTCTTTTAAAAAGCTGTCAGACCAGTGGTGGTGACCTATATCTGTAATCCATACCTACTTGGGAGGGTGAGGCAAAGGATTACACTTTTGAGGCCAGCCTGGGCAACTTAGACCCTATCTCAAAATAAAATATAAAGGGCTAGGGGTGTAGCTCAGTGATGGATCACAGTCCTGGGTTACATCCCCAGTACCACAAATTCTTTAAAAAAGTGATTCAGACTATGTTACTTGTTTCCTCAAATCCCCCCCAAAGCACCCAAAACTCTCATCACCTGCCTCTTTCACCCTTTCTCACTCAATTATAGACAACTGGCCTTCTTCATACTCCTCAGATACAAGGGACTGTCTTAGCTCATTTTCTATTGCTACAACCGAACACCACACCCAGGTAAGTGAATACAGGTATTTATCTAGCTCATCATTTCTGGAGGCTGTAAAGTGCAAAAGCATGGTGCTGGCATCCCATAAGGACCTTCTTGATGCATGGTTACATGGTAGAGGGCATCATGGCAACACAGAGCAAGAATATGGAGAGCTCTCTTTAAAACAAAAGCATTTCCTCAAATAACCTATTAACCTATGGATGGACTACTCCATTCATAAGGGCAGAATCCTCATGACCCAATCACCTCCCAAAGGTCCCACCTTTCAACACAGCTGCACTGAGGATCAAGTTCCCAACACATGAAATTTGGGGTCACATTCAAACCATAGCAGGGAACTTTCTTCCAGCTTTGTGAAACACTCTTATTCTGATTATCTGCAAAGGGAACTCTCTACCTTCTTCAAATCTTGATTCAGTGTCCCCTCAATGAGGCCTACCTACTCTTTAAATAGTTTTAATTGTAGATGAACACAATACCTTTATTTTATTTTCATGTGGTGCTGAGGATCAAACCCAGTTCGATATGTGAGGCAAGCACTCTACAACAGCAGCACCCTATTCCAATTCTATTCCATCTTGCCCTCCCCAAATCCCTTACCTTGTATACTTTATTTTTTTAAATGTAAACAGAACGAGAGAGAGAGAGAGAGAGAGAGAGAGAGAGAATGAGAATTTTAATAATTATAATTTTTTTAGTTTTCGGCGCACACAACATCTTTGTATGTGGTGCTGAGGATCGAACCCTGGCCGCGCGCATGCCAGGCGAGCGCGTTACCGCTTGAGCCACATCCCCAGCCCCACCTTGTATACTTTGTTCTCCCACAGCACTTATTACATGCTACCATGTAATTTACTGGGTGTTTTTTGTTTGCCCATGTCCCTAAGATGAACACTTCAAAACAGTAGGATTCTTCATCCCTATTTCCTCTCCTCTGCTGCATTCTAATAGGCGAGAATAATGCCTGGCAATTGCTAAGCACTTAGTTCAAAAGGGGGGCTGAGGTTGTGGCTCAGTGGTAGAGCACTTTCCTGGCATGTGTGAAGCACTGGTTTCGATCCTCAGCATCACATAAAAATAAAGGTATTGTGTCCACTACAACTAAAAAAAATTAAAAACAAACAAACAAAACCTTGTGGAATGAAAGTAGACCAGGAGAACTGGTATATTAGAAATGAACCCAGAAAAGAACACACAGAGGGACTGGACTGATGGGCAAGGGGCTACATCTCTAAGTTTGGACCATCAAAGTTTGAACCTGACCCAGACAGCATGAAGCCGCAGAAAGATCTTAAGTAGGAAAATGACCGAATAGGAGCGTACATTGAAATATCTCTTCAGCTGTGTGGATGACGAGTAGGAGCATGAGTGCCAACAAGCCGAAAGAGGTGTAAAATCTGTGAACTAACATAGGTCTGCAAGAAGAGCAATGTTAGGATACAAAGGCAACATGTCCTTGACCTGCACGAAGCTGAAATCGCTGCACAGGACATGGATCCATCAGATGGGGAAACCCGTCTAAATGCTGTGAAGATTACTGTAGCTTAAGGTTACAGTCCTTCTAGAGACCTCAGAAGCTGAGGGCTGAGTCAAGGTCGGATTCCCCTCGCGCCCTCCCCATCCTGCAGGCTGTGCACCTTTCCAACTCCCCAAGGTCAGAGGAAATTGAACACCCACGTCACCGGGTTCCGGGTCTGCGTCTGAAGCCAGCAGAAGCGCCCCGGCCCAGGAGCCCCGACGCACCCAAGCCCACAGTCCTCGTGCAGCCCCAGAGCTCACGCGGCGTCCGCAGGTTGTTCGGACTCAGCAGGACGCAGGAGACTCTTGCGTGGACCTGGCAGGAGTGTGGGCGGGGCACAGAGGCTCCCAGCGTAGGTTTCATAGTGAAAGAGTGAAGCAACGGAGACCGGCACGGGCCGGGGGCGCAGCGCGCCAGTAGGGGCGCACTTACCTGTATGTCAGGGCCGCCGCTCCCTCCCTGCGGCCGCGCCGACTGCAGGTCCCCAGTCCAACCCTCCACCCGCTCCTGCCCCGCCCCTTCCCCGCCCCTTCCGCCTGCGAGCCCAGAACAGGCCGGAAATGACGCGTGGTCAGGGCGATACTGGCGCAGCGACCCCTGCTGGAGGCCACGCCTTGGAGGACCCCACGGGAGCGGCGCCCTGAGGACCGCCTCAGGCCTAGGTGAGCCAGGTTGCAGCGCCGTGTGGTTCCACGTGGCTCAGAAAAGCTTAGCTATAATGCAACGGTCCTTTCTCTGGAGTTGCCAGCACCTTTGAGAGAGTTATAAACGTTGTCTCCAAATAAATGTACACACATTCTAGAACGTGGAAGTTTAGAACATCCTTTCAAGAATAAGGCGAATGAAAGGATAAACCGCACCCGGGTTTGTCCAGTTCACTTGTCACCTATTGGTGATTGGATGGCCAAAAAGAGGGTGTGTGTGTGTGTGTGTGTGTGTGTGTGTGTGTGTGTGTGTGCGCGTAAAAATATGCCCGGCTAGTGTATCTATGGAAACAGCCCTTTTGAAGCAACAAGACGAACCAGATTCTAAAAGAAGGATTTTCATAGAATACCTATTTCATAGTTTTATACCTGTTCATATTAATGCTTTTGGGAACACATGCATCTCAAATTAGAAATAGATTTTTCTTTGTTTTCAGGAAGTCCTCTGTTAATTGTCCTGCATAATAGCTTTGCTGCTTATATTTTCTTTAAAAAAAATATTTTTTGTTGTAATTGGACACAATACCATTTATTTATTTATTTATTTATTTATATGTGGTGCTGAGGATCAAACCCAAGGCCTTGAATATGCTAGGCAAGCGCTCTGCCACTGAGCCACAACCCCAGGCCCAAGTTAATGTTTTCTTTTACGCTTCACACAGTGGCTAAATTCTTATTGCATTTGTGCAATAAGAAACAACAGTTGCAAATTGTTTCAAGTGTAGGAATGATACAAATTAACAGGTGTCAGTTCAGTTATACTGTTGACATATTGAGAAATGCACAGTTGCAGTTACTAGTTTAAGTCATTTGTGAAACATTACAGATACATTGTTAATAAATGTGCCTGTAATGGGGTTAATCATAATTATTACAAACTGACAGAATTGCTGAATAATTATGGTAAGTATGGAAGAAGAGAATACAGTGATATTGAATTATATACAATCAAATTGGACACTGGCCTTTAAAAAAATAAAAATTGGGGAGCTGAGGTTGTGGCTAAACGGTAGAGTGCTTGCCTAGCACTTGCGAGGTGCTGGGTTTGATCCTCAGCACCACATAAAAATAAATAAATAAAATAAAAGGTACTGTGTCCAACTACAGTTAAAAAATATTTTTTAAAAAACATTTAATTAGATGAATAAAGGTAGTTTTTAAAACTTAAAAATGCTAATCATAGTTAAAATCTATGGTAAGATTAACAAGTAATGTAAAGTATAGTGACTTTAAAAACGTTTTGCATTTCTTTACAGTACTCCCCCTGCCTATCCTACTCCATTTCTTTTTCCTATGGGAGAGAAATTCCCCCATAGGATTCCTATGTATTTGGTGCCTTAGGGGGATGTGGTTTTCACAGGTGTAGACCACCTACTGAACTAAGATCCCATTTTAGTCACTAGCACTGCACTACTTCAGACCAGAAGATGCTGAAAATTGATCTCTTGGTTGAGCCCTAAAATCTGGGATGCAACACTTAATTTGGTATAAATATTTATCTTATGTAGGGTTTGGGTTATGGGTTGAATTTCACTATCTTTCTTTTTTTAAAGATGGACACAATATCTTTATTTTATTCATTTTTATGTGGTGCTGAGGATCGAACCCAATGCCTCACATATACAAGTCAGTTACAGCTCTACTGCTGAGCTATAACCCCAGCCTCCAATTTCATTTTCTTATATGAAATCCACACAATTACTTTCTAAGCCTGATGTGGTGGTACATACCCAGCTATCTGGGGAGGCTGAGGCAACTTCAAGGCCAGCCTGGACAATTTTGCAAGACTCTGTTTCAAAATAAAAAATAAAAAGGACTGTTGTAGTGAGGCTGGGGATGTGGCTCAAGCGGTAGTGCGCTCGTCTGGCATGCGTGCGGCCCGGGTTCGATCCTCAGCACCACATACCAACAAAGATGTTGTGTCCGCCGAGAACTAAAAAATAATAAATATCAAAAAATTCTCTCTCTCTCTCCTCTCTCACTCTCTCTCTTTAAAAAAAAAAAAAAAAAAAGGACTGTTGTAGTACCTCCAGTACTACCACAAGCAACACACACACAAATGCACGTATACACACTTTCTACCTGGAGTAGAAGGTTCTCTTTTACTGCCTCATCCTGTTTATCCGAAACCTCAAAGTTTAGCTAATCACCAAAAAGCCTCAAGCCTCCACTGGTGCCCTGAATGTTCCATCCTTTCTTACCTTCTCAAGGAATTTATTGTGGTGGTGCTGGTTTTGTGTGTGTTGTTTTTGGGGTACTGGGGATTGAACACAGGGGCACTCTGTAACTGAGCTGTATCCCCAGCTCTTTTTTATTTTTGTATTTTGAGACAGGGTTTTGGTAAATTGTGGAGGCTGGCCTCTAACTAGCCTGCCTCAGTCTCCAGAGTTGCTCCAAATTTTGAATTTTATCAAATAATTTTTCTGAGCTGGGTGTGGTGGTGCACACCTGCAATCCCAGTGGCTTGGGAGGCTGAGGCAGAAGGATCATGAATTCATAGTCAGTCTCAGCAATTTAGCAAGGCCCTAAGCAACTTAGTGAGACCTTTTCTCAAAAATAAAATAAAATAAGAGCTGGGGATATGACTCAGTGGTTAAGCACCCCTGGATTCAAACCCCAGTACTAATACTGCTACTACTACTATGACAGTGGCCCAGGTTATGCTTTAACTATAGCCTTGCTTCTCTAAAATTGACATTTCCCCCCCTTCTTCCTGATCCTCTCCTCCCTGATTTTCTCCTCCCTGATCTCCTCCCTGATCTCTCCTTCCTAATCTCTCCACACAATCTTGGGGAAACAGAACATGTGGAATGTAGCTTTTGAATCACCTCAGGAAAAAACAACAATAAAACCTGTTCCCCCCGATGGGGAGAATCACAGACTTTGGAACAGGAGTCTCCTGTGTTTCTCCTTTGCTAGCAAAGCAAATAAAACTTCTTTTTCCTTTTTCTCAAAATTGTGTCCTCATTGTTGGATCAGTATCTGGGACAAGGACCGAGCTTTTGGTAACACCACTACTAATTAAAAAAAAAAAAAAAAAAAAAA